CTGCTCTACCTAGGGAGTTCCAGAACAACCAGGACTACATAGAGAGAGACACAGTTTCAAAAATTGAACAAAACTTTTTAGCTGGTCAGTTGTATTCAACTACCCACAAATGACCACAAATGTCACTCAGGACGCTGCAACTGGTGATGAGCTGGAGAAGAGGACTTTCTATATTCAGTAGTTCAGCTATTTTTAACCTGAAAACATTAGTTTTTTTTCTTTATAAAAATATTGATATATTGGTGTGTGTGTGTGTGTGTGTGTGTGTGTGTGTGTGTGTGTGTGTGACACTCGTAGAGGACAGAGAACAACTTGGGGGAGTCTGGGGGAGTCAGTTCTCTCTCTCCACCCACCAGGTTCTGGGGTTTGAACTTGGGTTATCGGGCGGCAAACACCTTTACCCACCGAGCATTCTCATAGGTCCGGGCCTTTGCTTTTAAAAGAAGTAAATCTCTGTAAGGAGTTCCCTTCAATTTAGCTAGGACAGATTAAGGGATAGTGAAGAGACCTGCTCATGAAAATTAAAAGCAAAGTCTGTCTTCTCCTGCAGCACATGGATTTTTGCTAGCTACATTACATGAACTAATAACGGTTGGTTTCTGAAGTGGCTCCTTACCTGACAATACTTACCTGGCTCAAATGTTTCTGACCAAAGAAAACTTAGAACAATGTTTGTAGGTTAACTTTTAAGAGATGGTCGGTATCAATTTTTGCCTCTAAGAACTCCCAGACAAAGTAAATTTCCCAAGTACCTGGATAACTTTTCAGACAGAAGCAGTCTGATATACAAAACAACCTAGCTTTTTTTTTATTAGAATATAATTCAAAAAAATTTCAGAGCCGACTGACTGAAAAACATTCAGTATATTGGTGAATGAACTGTCAATTTGTAAGTAGGGTTTTAAATTTTAACTAATTATTTTTAAAACATTTATTCATATAAAGTGCAAGAATGGTCCTTTACCTTTTTTTTAAGGCAGATTTTCACATTGTCCAGACTAGCCTCAAACTTGACGTGCAGTGACGGGTGGCCTTGAACTCCTGATCCTCCTGCTTCCATCTCCCGGAGGACTGGGGTTACAGGTGTGTGCCACTGTGCCTGAGACGTTTTGACTTTTTGTTTTTTCCACTTTTGTTTAACAATTTTATAGGACCTTGACCCATCAAGAGTCCCTGCTCCTGTACTGAGGAGATCTAACCAGAGGGAACCTTCTTCCGGCGGTGGATGGAGATAGAGACAGAGACCCACATGGGAGCACTGGACTGAACTCCTAGTCCAATTGAAGAGCAGAAAGAGGGAGAAGATGAACAAGGAAGTCAGGACTGCAAAGGGTTCATCTACCCACTGAGACAGTGTGACTGATCTAAAGGGAGCTCACCAAGGCAAACAGGACTCTCTGAATGTGGCTGACAATGGGGGCTGACTGAGAAGCCAATACTAATGGCACTGGGATTTGATTCTACTGCATGGATTGGCTTCTTGGGATCCTAGTCTGTTTGGATGTACACCTTCCTAGGCCTGGATGGAGGGGGAAAGGCCTTGGACTTCCCACAGGGCAGGGTATCCTGCCATCTCTTAGGGCTGGAGGAGGAGGGGAGGGAGAGTGGGGGAGCGGGAAGGAAAATAGGAGGAGGGGAGGAGGTGGAAATTTTGAATGGTATTATTTATAAAGCAATAAAAAATAAAATAAAATAAAATTACTCTTTTAATCTAAAAAAAACAACAAAAGAAAACAATTTTATGAGAGAACAGTTGGGTTCATAGTTCTTGTTTATAGGCTCCAGAGAAGATACACATGTCTTAATTATAGTTTCTACTGGTAGAACCGTTCTCCAGTCTGATAACTGTTATTCTCCAGCTTCACACCACTTTCCACAGGCCACTGTGACACCCAGGGACTTCCCTTGCAAAGCTAGGGATCTCAGTGGGCAGCCAGATCTGTCATCTGGGATAGCCTGAGAGAATGCAGGCCAACCACTCCTTTCTTAGAACAGAAACAGGCAAGAACCCACATTAAGATGCCCCAGGTTGGCCTTTGGAACTGCAGGGGTTTGTAGTACTTGGAGAAACCACCTAAGGCTGCAAACTTAACTTCTGAAGAACCCTAGAGGAAAACCCTGAAGTTCGGTTTTGCACGTGGCAAAAGAGGGATCTTAGGATCATCCCTTGAGTCTTTCTGGATCAGCAGGAACTGAGCATCTATGGGAGCTCACAATGCGGTCCTTCTCTGTGTACCTTCATGCTGAGTTGGGTGAGACTTCACAAAGCCTCTACTAATATTAAGGGACATCAGAAAAACCCAGTCTCACCTTTAGACTCGTAATGACAAAGTGGGGAGGTGGTTCATTTAGAGGCATGGGCGAGCTCCAGGCTCCTGGATTAGGAGCTGGGGGTGTGTTCATAGATCTCTTTCAGGTGTATGTTGAAAACTCTAGTTCTAAGGATTGGAAGTATGCAAGACATGTATTGTGTCACCTAGTGGCATGCTTGAGGACTCAGCTGGCCTTGGGCTGCTGTCCAGGCTTCTGCTCCCCTCCTAGCCATTCCTCTCCCCTGGCCGGCTCCATCCTCTCCCATTTTGCTGTGTGGCAGAGATGTGCATCAGCAGGTCTGAGGTCAACCTTCCACTCGGCATCCCAGATGAAAGGCTCACCTTTCCCATCTTTAATTTGGAAAATTCCAGGGAGAAGCTGGGTGAGGCTGGGTCCCCTGACAGAAGGACAAAGAGTTCTAAGAGATAGCCTCAGGGGAAGGCAGGTTTCTAAAAGATGGTAAGAAAAGGAGGCAGGGGGGATGCTGGTCCCAGAAGGAACCAGAATAACAGGCAGTTTTGTTTCATAGCCCAGGAAATGTTTCTTAACATCACCCTTCTCTAGTTGATATTCCTCCTTTAATCAGTGCTTTGGGATTAAAAAAAAAATCTTTTGGTTATTTAACGATCTTATGAAAATTAACTCTGATCCTCCTTGGGCCTTGCTTTGAATATCCTCTTTATAGTTTCAACTAATATAGCTTAATAATATCTATTTACTGAGGCAGTTGCAAGGATTAAATGTCTGGTATGATACCTAACTCACAATGAGTGTTAATAAGGCTTCTCCATAAAGAGACCAGGAATGGCTGAAGGAGGGAATTAGACTCTGGAGCACTAATTGAAGCAGATTCTGGAAAGACAGTTGTAAGTGTGGAAGAAGTCCCTGCACTGTGTAGAAACCAGAGGTCATAGCTAGGCAGAGCCATCAATACCAAGAACCAAAGCGAGGCTCACACTATGATTCTCCCCGTTACGATTCTCCCAAATATGATTCTTATTTGACAATGGCGAACATGGCTGGCACCTGGGTTGTAAGTCCACCAAGCGTGAGATGTTACTGGGATGTAATGGCTAGCGATTTGGTGCAAGAGACAGTTCCCACCCCATGCCTAGAGCATCACTGTTACACCCATGGAATAAGCCAGAAAAATCCCCATAGACTGGTGGCAGACTGACAGGGACTGTGAGAGGAAGGGCTTCTAACCACTTGGCTTAAGGCAGGTTCCTTGTCCAGGGAGGATGCAGAAGTGGGAAGGGGACACAGAGACTTCTGCCTGCACAGAGGCTGCTCCTGATAAGCCAGGATGCCTGGCCTATCAGGGTCCCCTGCAGTTCTGCCCCTGAGAAACTTGACCATGCAGTTTTGTTTCTCTGAAGTTTGATCTCCTTCTTTGTGAGCAAGACATCTAAGAACAGTACCTAGGTGAACATGGTGGCAGTGCCTGCCAAGGAGGCATAGTAGGGGACTGGTAGAGATGCGGTGAGTACCACACCTAAGTTAGGGAAATACCCAGCATGGCATCTGATTCATTGGGAGAGCGCAATCAAGGGAGGTTACTATGGCTAATGCTGCCATTAGCCACATTAACACACTGTGTGTGCTGCTCCCTGTAAACCTGACAGTTGAGAGAGGGAGGAGGCAAGGAGGGCCAGGAGTTTAAAATGAGCCTCCGCTACATAGTGGGTCTGAGACCAGCATGTTCTACAGCAGAGTCAGTAGGCAGAGGCCAGGATTTGGCAAGGTGAGATCTCATTCTTAGGATATGGCACTCACTCTGCTGTCACCAGGAAGGACCAGTGCTTGGGACAGGGATGACTCTGACAGTGCAGCTGGGACCCAGCAGGGCTTCCTGTGAAGAAAACGAGCAACACCCCCCTCCCAACTCAAAGCAGATCCTCGCTGGGAAGCCAGCAGAGAGCCATGCCCACAAGGAGAGGCAGTCCCACAAACCGTAGGATTAGGGTTAAGAAAACAGCATCTACATCTGGAATACGCAGAACAAAACGGGAGTTTGAGAGGACCTGACGAAAATGTAGTAGTGTAAAAGTTTGCAATATGAATTAGAAACAACAACCAAGGGAAAAAAAAAAGATGCTGATTTTATTTTGTCATTATAAAAAAGTGTTGGCACTGAGCTATACAGAGAGGAGTTCGGGAATGCTATTGAGATGAGAAGTCATGTGTTTTAGAGCAGTGTTGGAAGGTATCAGAAGAGCATGTTAGAAGTTCTGAAAGATGGATAAGGTTTAGACATGGCAGTGGGGAAAGATCCACCAGAGAAGGGCTTGATGCCCAGCCCAGGCTGGCCTTGAACTCACAGAGACACTCTCAATTTGCCTTCTGGAATTACAGCCCTGCACCAGCACCCTGAGCTATACCGAACTTCTCGATGCCTCTTGATTCTTTTTTCTATCTCCAGAGCCCAGCAGACAACCCGGAACACAGGAAAGGAGCTGGGCACCCTGGTGTCCTGAGCATATTTCTAGAGGAAAGAACTCGCTGAGGGCATCTTGAGGAAGAATTGAATTAATCAGAAGACTTGGTACGCTAACGAATTAGGTTGGTAGGATAGCGTTCAATGTTAATGGTTCAGGGGATGTTAGCTGTCTAAAAACTATTTCAGTAATTTCCACTGTCACCATGGAGTTTGTGTCTGCCTTCTCTCACACGCAGGCAGGACGAATGGTGGGAAACTCATCTTCTGTGACTCGGTAGCTCTTGGACTTAACCTTCAAAACTACCAGAAGAAAAACGAAAAAGCTCGGTCCATCTTCCCAGGACATTTTCCCCTCCCACCATCACTTCAAGTTAGACATCCTCTTAAAATGAAAGAGGGGAAAGTTCAGAAGCATCCCATAGAATATTCATCACATGACTGGCACCCTGAGAAGAGACAGGCTGCTCCTACCTGTCCCTAGCAGAAAGCATCTTGATTTTGATTGGACGGTTGCCAGAGTCATTAGCATAGTGTACCCTGACCTGGCTTAGGGAACAGCGTCCACTCCGAGATGACCAGAGCCTGCAGGACCTGAACCAGAACTGACACTTGGATGACACCCGGGCAGAAGCCCGAAGGGAGGACTCAGGACAGACGGTAGAAAGTGTAAGTGACTCACGGCCGCAGGCCTCTAAGACACGGGTTTATTTGTCCCAGCTCGCGGTCTGTAAAAAACGATGAAATGGTCAAGACACTTAAAAAAAGGGAGAGGGGGAGATCTTGCAAGTTTTTATTTTTTTATTTTAATCCTGGGGAAAGATTGAGTTTACTTATTGAAGGGATTAAGCTGTTTTTTTCAGTATTTTGTTCTTAACTTTTTAGGGAAATACTAATTTAACGCTTACTCCTTAAAAGTGTGTGTTTTTAAAGTCTCAAAAATGACTATAATCTTTTAGAGTAAAAATTTTATTCCCCTTCTCTTAATTTAAAAGCAAGTATCTAGCCTCAGCTAAGAACAGTATTTTTAGGTTTTGACAGTATAGGGTTTTTTTTTCATCTGTTCTGTTTTATGTAAAGTGTGCTATGAATCATATCCATTCTAATTTGCTAAAACCAAATTTCGGCTAAGGGAGTTATGGTTGTGACTTAATATTTACACCTTCTGTATTTGTCAATTAAGCTATCGCAATTAGGGTGTCAACCATTTCTTTTCCAGCAGCTCAATAACTACTTCCTAAACATAGAAATTTACTTAGAAGTTACAGGCAATGAGCCGTGGCTGGGACTCAGGGGTGCAGCGTAAGGCTTCAGTGTTAATCCTCAGCACCACAGACTCAGGAACAAAATAAGAAAGACAGAAACCCTCTCAAGTCTGTATGCAGCCTTGAGCGCCTGCGTTTGCTCAGGGTAAGGGACTTCATGTTTCTCGGGGCTGTTACCACGGGGCTGTGGCTGATCTTGAAAAGGTGAGGAACAGTACCTGGGAGTTTATCTATGAACATATTCCTTAATCTAAGTTGCTCTGGGAATATATCCTAGGTTCGCCGTGTATCTTTATGTAAATTTAGATAATTTATGTAGAAATAGGTCTAAGCCATTGACTCCAGACAATAACGGTTCTAAAGACTCTCATAACGATGTCTAGCAATGAGGAAGAAAAAAAAAACCCCAAATCTGAAGACAAAAGCTGTGGCCGGTGTCTTGGAACCCTAGACAACTCCGCTGCAGCCAGCCTAGTGGCTTCGGCAGTTTGTTTCTCGTTAGCAGTCGGTACTTGCAAAAATGTCAGCGGACTTGCTATTTCTAGCGGACAGGTGATAAGCAGATTTTTTCTATTGTTTTACTTGCTTTTTGCTTTTATTTTAACATCTATGAGTGTGTGTGCACCAGTCCAGAGGGTACAGGACAACTTGTGGGAGTTGGTTCTCTCCTGCCATGTGGGGTCCAGGAACTGAACGCAGATCTCCAGGCTTGGTGGTGAGCACCTTTACCTGCTCAGCCACCACCGCCCTCCTTTGACACAGTCTCACACGGTAACTCAGGCTGGCCCTGAACTCGTGGCAATCTTCCTGCCGCAGGCTCTGGGGTACGAACCACCACACATCTGGCTTCACAGTTTGTAATCTCTTCAATCATCAACGTTCCTATCATCTATTTTCTTAGCTCTGGAAAACAAGCCCCGGGGCTGCTTGCGTGGACAGACACAGTTTCGGGAGCGAGAGCTCTCTAGCACGTCTCTGAGGAGTTGAGCAGAGGGAAGCCTGTGGTGACCCGACCTTATCATGGAACTGGACGACTTTGATCCTGAAGACAAAGAGATACTGAGCTGGGATATAAATGACATGAAACTGCCACAGGTAAGTGCCTGCAGGACTGCCCCTAGCGTGTGGCTCTGTTGGCTGACAATTAACCTGCCAGGTTCTAGAAGGGAACCTGTGAGGTCCTACTTCAGAGCTTCAACCCCTCTTCAAGGGGAGATGTAAGGCCTAGAATCTGGGTACCTACTTCTTTTCTAGACACCCCAAGAGTAAACCAAGATAAAGAAAGCACATTCTCTCCCTGTTGAAGCTGGCTCGCTCTCAGTTCACAGCATTTGTCAGGGGTCCGACTTCTAGCAACACATAAGACCCCCCTAGCACCTCTTTGCTGTAGTGCTTTTAGCAGTTAACCCTGGAGCTGGAATAGCTGAGCAGTGGTGCCCTTGGGCAACACAGGCGGTCTTGAGGGAGTGGCTCATGGGTGGCATCTACTCTACCCAGGACTGAGAGAGCGAAAGAGAAAGAGAGAGAGAGAGAGAGAGAGAGAGAGAGAGAGAGAGAGAGACTGGATCTTACTCAGCTGCCTAAGTGAGCATTAAATACCCCAAAGGAACTCAAATTTGCCTTGAACTCACAATCCTTTTGTTTCTGCCTCCCAAGAGCTGGGATCACAGGCCCAGCTAGCAATTGATTTTTGAATTCTAATTTGGTGGAAAGCATTAATTAAGACCAAGTTTCAATGTATATCATTCCTGACTCTCTTGTCCTCTCTTCCTGGTGTTTAAAGATACTTTGACTGAACGTTGTGACTACAAACTCTAAGCCCAGAGTTCACTACTACCAAATGTCTGTCTGATCCTGGGGAACAAGCAGGGAGGAGGGTTGGGGATTCCAGTCTCAGCTCACGACTTTTCTGGGTTTTCACTCTAATAGACACTTCTTTTTGCATCTTTGTTTTCTCTTAATTTCCCTCTTGAGATCTCCTTTGGTGGATGCGGAGAGAGCTAGAAGGCAGAAAATAAGCCCATTCATTCAAGGGGGGAAATAAGCCATCATGCAGCCAGGTCAACATCCATCCATCTTCCAGACTTGCATTGGGAGTTGTTCCTGATTTGTACTGCAATTGCAATAGCTATTTTAGGGAACTTCAGAGTCAATTGTAATTGCTGTTGGCTCAATGGCCCGTATTTCTCCCTATTTTTAATTTCATGTTTACACCCCAGGAATGTGAGCTGAAGATGATATCTACAGCTGAGGTCAGCAGATATGGAAGAACTTTAAACTGGCAGGCAGGGCAACCCTGTGTCCTCACAAGCGTTTTTCCCGGTGTGCTTGTGTATGCCTATAACCCCACCACACAGGAGGCAGAGACGGGAAAATTATCACAACTCTGAGGCTGATCTTAAAAAGAAAAAAAAAAACATGCAATTTTCCTGGATAGAGGATTCATATCCTTCATCAGCTCTGTAAACTAAGAGAAAGCACAGCTTCCCCAGAGGGATGCTCAGGGCCCAGAAGCTCTTGTTCCAGCATGAATTTCCATAGCATTCTTGACTCCTTAGGCCACTGCATAGGGAAGTCCATGGCAAACATGTATACTCTTGCTCTGAAAACAGACCCTCTTCAAGTTACTGAACAGGTGAAAGGTTGCTAAGGAAAAAGCTATTCAGCTTGTAAAACTTAGGGCAGTAATTAAGTACAAACATCCTTCAGTCTGAGTAGACACGACCCCATTCAGATCTGGGTTGATTCGAACTCCAAAATCGTATCTACAACCAGTTAAGGTGAAAAATGAAAGATCTCAGAAAGTTTTCAGCAATGGGGCTTGTGTGGTTCAGAGCAAACTGAAGGCAGAGGGTACCCAATGAGAAACTGAGTATCTGGAGACAACAGCCCTTCCAGCTGTACCTCTCTCTACTTGTAGGGCCTCTGGAACTATCTGCCTCTCTTCAAATCCCTCTTCCTCTTGAAAATGCTGCAGCATGCAGTGGTCTCTTCTGTACCTATTGATTCTGATAGCCAGGGATTCTAGAACTGTCGGTCTGGGCCCGGTGGGTAGTTTCATTTATTTGTTTGTTCATGTTTGTTTACCTTCCTTCCTTCCTTCCTTCCTTCCTTCCTTCCTTCCTTCCTTCTTACTTTCAGTGTGTATGAGTGTTTTGCCTGTGCATATATCTGTGCACTATGTACATGCCTAGTGCCTTCAGAGGCTAAGAGAAGCCAGTGGATTCTCTGGAATTAGAGATACAGTCAGTAGTGAGCAAAGTAGCTACTGGGAATTGAACACAGTTCCTCTGGAAGAGCAACAAGAATTTTTAACCATTGAACCATCTCTCCGGTTTTATTTATTTAGGTTATTGAGACAGGGTCTCATTCTGGAATGGGCTAGAATTCCCTTTGTAGCTTAGGTTGGTCTTGAACTCACAGAAATCCTCCTGCCTCAGTCTCCCAGCTAATTGTAGCTGTATAGCTTTGCCTAGCTAGTCTGGAGCTCATGTCATAGACCGGGCTAGTCTCTAACTGGTGACTTCTGACTCCTGAGTGGTGGATTACTGCTGTGGGCCCACATGCCCAGCTTTCTATTTCTCCCAAGACATTCACTGTGGTGTCAGCCCAGGAGCACAGACTCTTGACTACACTATCATGGATGGAAGTCTTATTCCAGGACAGCGTACTACACCGGTTGTGCTTTTCCGTTCTATTCCCCTTAAATTACATTTGAATCTGCAAAATTAATCACTGTAGAGCTTGCGTGGTCCGAGCAGCAAGTGTCCGGTGTTGGTCTTGTCTTACTTTCCCTCGGAATGTGTATTACATGGTCCCAGGGAGTCTACACTTGTTCCACAGACTGTGGCAGCTGAGAGACAAAATTGCAACTTTTTTTTTCTTTTTGACTAAAAATTGGGGAGACACTCAATGCCCTTTTTCGTTAAACAGCATTCATTTCACAGGGCACAGACTGCCCACTGTTCTCACAGCAGCCGGCTTTCCTAAGCTGGAGAAGCGTTGTTCTAGAAACACCACAGACACCTCAATCATTTTATTGCTGAGCATGGGGCAGTTGCCAGGTCAAACCCATGGCCAAAACAACACTGAGGCATTTACTCACATGCTTCCAATCTGGTTGTTTTGTTGGTGGTGGTTTTGTTGTTCCTGTTGTTATTTTGATGGTCTGTTTTGAGGCTAGAGCTCACTATGTAACCCAGGCTGGACTTGAATTCACTATGTAGCTCAGGGTAGCTACAAATTCAAGATCCTCTTGCTTTTTACCCGCACTGAGATTTCAAGTTTCATAATGTCTAGCTAATTCTGTTTTGATCTGTAGTACTGAGGGTAAACCAGGACTCCATGCTACCACTAGGCTGCACCAGCAACCCAGTTCCAAGGCTTGAGTTCATAGAGACAGCATTCCTTATAACAGTGGGGTCGCATATGAAGGGGCTGTAGCTCCAATTAGTTCATGGCTGGACCAAGATTTTAGTTGGCAAAATTCCTTCTACCTTCACAGAGGATGAGTCCCAAATTGTGACTGAACTCTCTGTAGAGCCAGGTGCCTGCTTGTAATCACAAGCAATCAGATGTGCGGGGGCGCTGAAGAGGCAACGGGCAAACCCGATTCTGCGTTCTTCATCAATTACTATTGTCCTGCATGGCTAGGTCGGGTTGTCTCTCACGCAGACACTTGTAACTTGGCCCTCTCTGTCTGCCTCCTACTTGATCCCAAGCTCTCCTGGGACAGTTCCAACTACATGGACACCCATGGTTACCGGAGGAGACCTTGTTGTTGGGCCTGGGGTTCTACCACCCCGAGCTTCCGATATGAAGGCAGTGGGGCACTCCTGCATCTGTGATGATGGGCTCTCGCCCACTACACATCTTTTGCTTGGGTGGTAGGAGTAGGGAAGGGAAGGGAGAAGAGAGGAGTTGGACATGAAATAGAGTGTGAAAGTTGGAACTTGACCTAGCAATATGGAACTTCTCTCCTCAGGTGGGAAATAGCAGGATTGCTAGCAATTCCTGATGCAAAGACCTTTGTTGGAGCATGACGATGTTTAGAATTCCATACATCTATAGTTGACCTAGAAGAGACAGATTCACTTCAAAAAGTTATCTGTAGGGTCAAAGTGAGAGCCAATTTTGTTGTCTTTTGCTACTGTTGCTGTTGTTACAGGGTTTTACTACATAACCTTGGCTGGCCTGGATCTTGCTATGTAGACCAGGACGGACTTGAATTCATAGAGCTCTGTCTACCTCTACTTTTTGGATGCTAGGATTAAAGGTGTGTGCCACACACCTGACATTTTGTTGTGTTTTTAGTAACGTATAATTTTTTCTTTAACTGATTCTCTTAAGGTGTTTGAAAAGCTGGGTATGAGTATTGTGTTGTATTTCCATGACCCTAGGAAAAGGCCAGCCTTTGCTACATAGTGAGTCTAAAACTAACTTGGGCTAGATGAGCCCTTGTTTGCATGTGTGTGTGTGTGTGTGTGTGTGTGTGTGTGTGTGTGTGTGTGTGTATTTGATGTCCTTGTTCTATTTGCCGATACTAATATAAAGGATTAATGCATAGTAAGCTATTTATGCTGGAAGACAATTGCTTTATACAAGAGTAGACTATACTGTCAGCTGGTGGTGGCATGTGCCCTTAATCCCAGCACTCGGGAGGCAGACACAAGTGGATTTCTGTGAGTTCGAGGCCAGCCTGGTCTACAGAGCGAGGTCTAGGACAACCAAAAAAGCTACACAGAGAAACCCTGTCTTGAAAAAACAAACCAAAACAAAAGAGTTGACTATACTAAGAATGAAAACTAATATAATGTAATAACCTATGTAAACTTTTGGCTTTGTTTTTCTTTTCTTTCTTTCTTTCTTCTTACTTTTTGAGAAGGTCTCTCACTGTAGCCCAGGATGGCCTTGGTCTGGAAACAATCCTCAGGACTCAGCCTTCCAGCTGCTAGAATTACAGACGAAAACCACCTCACCTTACATAATGTGAATATTTTGATATCTTACTTAAGAATTTGGTTTTATTAGTTTTATATAATAGTAATAAATAATTTTTATGATAGCCTATGAAGACTCCAAATGACGAAATTAAATTAAAACGAAGGTCAAATAAAGAGTGTCCTTGTGTTCTCATACAGCTAAGAGGTACTGAGTAAATTATAGGACTAGATTTCCTTGTAAAGAAGTATGCAGAGAAATCATAGGAATATCAGTTAAATTCCTAATGACGCTGGTCAAGAGATGATAAAATATAGATCTGTTAGATGTGACAGGTTGAAAAACTTAAAGATGTTCCCTTTCAATTATAAACTTCTTAACCAAGAGCAAAAACAAAGAGTTACTCATGAAAAGTTAGAAATTAAAGTAAACAAGGTGTCTAAAAAGAAGAAAGCGTTTTATGAAAAGTTAGAAATTAAATTAACAAAGGTTCTAAAAAGAAGGGAGCATTTTTCTGGGAATTGCTAGCAAGGTTAAGAATCCGTGTTCTCGGTTTTAAAACTTTATGTTCCTGGTGGCGAATTCTGTGGTCCTTTAAAAGCGCCCTCCTCATGCTCTTCTGATTCTCGGACGTTTGGAGCATCTGGAGCCGCCATCATTCCAATTTTAATATAAAAAGTTGCCAAACATTCCACTGAAGGTGCAGGCAAACAACAGAATAAATAAACAATAGCCAGGAGAAGAGCTCCGTGGGCTCATGCTTCCCTCTAGTAGACGCCTCCCTTCATACTCTACTGCCTCACTAAGGGAACTAGAAAACAGGGTGTCAGGGGTGTCATTTGGGATTAGCTTCAAAGGCGTTGAGAGTCACCTCCTCCTCACACATATGAAGTCTTTGCTTTGGTCAGAACGTGAGAGGGGCTCTCGTGGATACATTTCACTTCTCCTGGCTCATGGCTCTGTGGTTCTGACCTTGGCAGGAGTGGGGAGGGGGCATTGGCATAGAAATCCCTGCTTTCCTCTAAGTATCTGACCCCTTGTCTCTCTTCATCTTCATACCTGTGTGTCATAAAGAATAATACAAATCAAGTCCACCAATTCTTTATAGTTAAAATGATTAAAGGCAAATATGTACTTTAGTGTTTTAGTCGGCATTTTAATTATTTCAAAAGTAAAATAGTTAGTGCTGGAGAGATGGCTCAGAGGTTAAGAGTGCTTAGTGCTCTTGCAGAGGACCTGGGTTCCAGTCCCAGCACCCATACTGGGTGCTGGCACTCAGGTGCACACACCACTCTCCACACAAACACACAATCAAAATCTAAAATAAATCTTTAAAAGTGAACTAATATATTCTGCTATGCTTTTCTGAGATGGAAATCTGGAAAGCATTGGTTACACTTTCAGTCAGAAGTAAAAAGGAAGAAAAGATGGCAGGTATTGAGGTTATAGGGGGCTTCTCACGCGGACCCTGAACCACATCAAGGCCATAGTCCCCACAAAAGAGCAGATAGTCGGACTCAGCTTCCCTGGCTGTGCTTTCCAATAGAGCAGTACTGTAGCTACCACTGGGCCTCAGGGGCCCCTCCAGCAGCACGGGGCTTGATTTATCGAGCCCCTTCCTCTAGGACAGCAGTCTAACCCAGGGGAAATGCTCACACATCCTGGCACTGGTGTTTGTCTCTGTCTCTCTTCAGATGTTCCTTGGCTTTGCTTACGGTCTGTGTTGTATATTCTTGTTGGGAAAGCAAAGGGTTGGTAGCTTGATTTCTTTTTCTGGTTTTCCCAAGAGTCTTCTACCATGACCTTTGAGAATCTTCGAAATGAAGACTGTTCTTCTTTCTGTGTGAGGTCTGTGAGAGCCATGATGATGGGCACAGAGTCAGCCTAGGATGATTCTCTTTCTAAGAGTTGGCAGGATCTCTCACATGCAATGTCAGCCACAATTGTGGGGCGTGGCAAAACGAGCCACACCCAGCAACTCAGCTTGCTAGAGGCTGTGACAAGTATTTAACACGCATGATATTTAATCCTCAGAACTCCTGCTGTAGGAGAATCTCATCATCCCTATTTTACACGTGCAGGAACAGAACAGCAAACCAAGCAACTTACGCTCTAAGGACCTCTTTTTAGGGTGATTATATTGTGCTTCAAAATTTAGCATGAGATCTGCCACCACAGCTGCTTTGCAGTACCTGGGTGGCCGCCACCCCCCACTGCTGCCCGAGCTGCTCCTCTGGCCGAATCGGAACTCGAGACCTTTTGAGTCACAGCTCTGACCTTGCACAACAGAGTCCAGTTAGATGTTCCCATGCAGGGAATAGGGCCGTACCGGGTAAGCTCACAGGCTCAGTCGGACTCCTCTGTGAGTCTGAGGGTAGAGGGCAACAAGGAAACTGCCCACAGAGGGAAATGTGGGCTTCCAGACCTCTCCAAACCAGAGCTCTGCTTTGCCTATCTGGCGACTGTGGTTCCCAGCATGGCAACCAGTGTGGTCTGAGTCATTATCTCACTGTGCTTCCCGTAGTCATTAGGAAAGAGCGTGGCGAGATACTGCACCCCCAAAATTCTCTCTGAGAAATGGCCATTCCTGTTGTCACCAAGGGCTGGAGAAACAGCCGAATTCAGAAGGGCTCAGCTCTAGCTCATCTCGCTGCAAGAGAGCAAATGCTTGACAGACACAGCAGACGCTTTGCTACCATTGCTGACAGTGGTTCTCAACCTTCAGGTCACGACCCCTCTAGGGATCGAATGACCCTTTCACAGGGGTCACTTAAGACCCTCAGAAAGCACAGATATGCTACGATTCATGACAGTAGCAAAAGTATAGTTATGAAGTAGCAATGATTTTAACAATAATAATGTTATGGTTGAGGCTCACCGCAACATGAGGAACTGAATTAGAGGGTCCCCGCACTGGGAAGGTTGAGAATCACTGTTAGTGTCCCCAGATTCCACCACCAGGATTAAAATCAGGTGAGGCTCTTCCAATGGTCTCTTGTTCTGGCCCAGATATCTTTTACACCTGTTAACTCTATGGTGGCGGACAGGTGGGTTTTCTGGATGAAACTCCAACAGAATCTTTGTGCTTCCGTCAGAACGTGAAAAAGACTGACTGGTTCCAGGAGTGGCCGGACTCCTACGTGAAACACATCTACAGCTCCGAGGACAGGAACGCCCAGCGCCACTTGAGCAGCTGGGCCATGCGGAACACCAACAACCACAATTCCCGCATCCTCAAGAAGTCGTGCCTGGGCGTGGTGGTGTGCAGCCGGGACTGCTCCACCGAGGAGGGCCGCAAGATCTACCTGAGACCCGCCATCTGTGACAAAGCCAGGCAGAAGCAGCAGAGTGAGTGAGGCAGGCTTGGGGGCAGCAGCAAGGAGGCCGGGAGTCTGTGCAGATGTTCCAGCCAGGGTGGACATGTCCCAGGGGCCCAGTCAGCCTTCCCACTGAAGTTAAGTGACAGGCAAGGCATTCTGATGGAGCACTAAGAGGGAGTCACCCATCCCCCCCATCTCTGCCTGCAAGGCTTCCTGTGTGCAGAGCCCCCTCATGAAGGACCCCATTGCTTTGGAGAGAAATTAGCTCATGGAAAGTTCAGGAGAAAGTGGTTTACAGACTTGCTGCATGGCACCTGAGTCCCCTCAGTGAACACAGTCTTTGGGAGTAGCATGACTGAACTTATGAACTCAGCTTTGCCCGTTTAGATTTGTGCCCATATTACCCATGAAGATGCTTGCTCTCCCTTCTCTATATCATACTCACTGGATTGTGAAATAGATGCTCCCAGTCTTCCCATCCCAACCCACAATTTACACCTCAAGTTACTTCGTGTTCTTTCCCAGTGTGTTTTCCAAACTTCCTCTCAATCATTTACAACCGAGTGGAAATTTATTGACGGGGTTCTTTCTCTCCCATGTGGCTTTGCCCCCCATTAAATCTGAGTTACTAATCATGAAATAAAATACTTTTTCTCTAGAAAGAATACTTAATACTAGGAAATAAGTAGGGGAACCTTTTGCTCTTCGGAGTGCTTTGACCTGTAAGATAATCGCACCCGTCAGGCAGCTGTTGAGCGTATCCATGTGTGAGCCCAGCTGGCCGTTGGTAGAGAGGATGCTGGTCACAAGTCAGATCCAGCGGAGGGAAGCAGCAGGGACGGTGCAGGGAGGTTCCTCTCCACTATCCTAGAACCAACGCTGAAAGCCAGCAGGGCAGCCCAGACTCAGAAGTCAGCCCGGGTGGTCCAGTCAGCTGCCTTCTTTGCTTCTTCTAGGGAAGTGCTGTCCCAACTGCAATGGTCCTCTGAAGCTCATTCCCTGCCGCGGCCATGGAGGCTTTCCGGTCACCAACTTCTGGAGGCACGACGGACGCTTCATATTTTTCCAGGTTGGGTTTGAGTTATTTACTCGGCTTCTCTTTCTGGTGCCAGGTGTCTACCGTGTTTTCTGTGGAGGAATCTTATCAGAGGTTGTGGGTGTCGGGGTCTATGAGACTGTGCCCACCTTCTGGGAGAGCAAATGCCCACACGCCCTACTTCACCAAAGCTGGAGCCCTGGAAACCCAGGAAGGCTGAGTGCCTCCACCCCTGAGGAGAGAGGAGGCCTAGCGTTTCGCTTGTGGCCTTCCACAGCCCCAGCTGACTCAGCACTAGCTCTTCACACAGAAATAACTTGATTCCTCTCAGAAACCCCGGCTTTCTGCAGGGTTTGTCAGGAACGCTAGTGGGGCCCGGATGTAGACAGGTGAGGAGTGGGCTCTGGTGTCAGACTGCCCGTCTGGTGTCAGACAAAACAGCTCTCCCAAACTGTGACTCGGCTGTTCCCACGGCAGCTGAACTTCAGCTACCAGCTGAATGCCAGCTCAGGCGAGGGCTGAACGTTTCACTCCCAGCTTGGCTGTGGACATCCAGCGCCACTAACCAAGAGAGGTTATCTAGATGGCGCCCTTTCTCTAGGTCTCACTAGTTTCTTACTATGTGAACTAGAGAGATTATAGCGGTCTTATGTAAGCATTGCACCAAAGATTAAGCGGGAAAATTTGAGCATGACTAGCAGACACTACGAGGACACCCTAGGAGACAGACGTAAGGAAGAGACCTCACAGGACAGGAGGCAGGCATGAGCTCAGCAGGCTTGGGAAGAGTTCTGCCGGAGCAGGCAGCCTTGCTGACCCCAAGTCCCCGGAGAGGACAGGACAGAGAACAAAAGCTATGCCCCACGAAGTGTAATCCTGTTACTAAGTTTTGCTTCATTTCTATGACTTTGCCTCTCTCTTCAGTCAAAAGGAGAACATGACCATCCCAAGCCAGAGACCAAACTAGAAGCAGAGGCGAGAAGAGCAATGAAGAAGGTGCACATGGCATCCGCCTCTGGCTCCTTGCGAATGAAGGGGAGCCCGGAAACTAAGGTCAGCTGCCCTAAATGTGCTCATCCATGCATGGAGGCCTCACCCCGGCAATGGGCATGGTAGATGGTCCCAGTCCTTTACTGACCAATGAAAGCCACAGGCATTCTTCTATCTGGTCTATCTATAAGCAAGCATGCACTGGATAAACTAATCTGAAATTTTACTCTTAATGTTTTTTTCCACCACACTTGAAACAGGCTTGCAAATATTCAGTATGGTCATAGACTCATCATAAGTTTTAAAAAGGAGCTTGAATCAGTATCTAACTTATATTTGGCAACTCTATATTTTAGTTCCAATAAACTCAGAATCGATCAAAATAATCTTTACAAAATGTTATCAGCCTTATGCTTTTGGAGTTTCTGTTTTCAAGTTTCCATATCCCTAGAACAGATGGTTTTCTTAGCTTGTCAAAATAATCAGATGGTCTACGGCCGCAATTTCCTCTAAGTCAGTGGTTCTCAACCTTCCGAATGCTGTGACTCTTTAATACAGCGCCTCATGTTGTGGGGAGCACAAAAATTATTTTCGTTGCTACTTCATGTCTCTAATATTTGCTACTGTTATGAATCATAATGCAAATACCTGAGATGCAGGACATCTGATATGCGACCCCCAAGGGGTCACAGCCCACAGTTTGAGAACTGTTAATCTAAACAATCAGACCGCTGTTAAGTTGGGTGCTCTCTGGTGTGATCCCAGCTCTGGGGACAGAGATAAACCAGCAGTCAGGATCCAGAGTTGGAGTCCAGCCTGGGCTATAAAGTGAGACTCTTGGGTTTGCTTTTTAAAAAAAAGAAAGAAAGAAAAAAAGAAATTTCTGCAAATGACGGCCCCTCCAGATGTAGAGATGAGTGTAGCCTGTGTCAAGAAGTCCAACGCTGCAAGGGCTTCCCAGCAGAGCGGGCTTGTCTTTCTGATACCGTGCTAATTCCCGCTTGGAGAGCTTTGAGTGTACCTTATCTAGAAGGAATCATGATTTAGTCTGTGACACAGGACCTGTGCTCCCAAATCCACGTGACCGGCCCTCATCCTTCATCTCAGCCCCGGGGCATCTCTGACACTTTACTTGGACAGAATCTTTGTCTCCTCCCCTCAGACTATCCTCTTATGAGGGGAGAGTTTACATAATGAATCATGTCAGAGAGACCTAGCAGCTTCTTCTTCTCAGGGCTAATATAGATACTACATCCACATAAAGAAATTAAAGCTGACCAGTTTATGCTCTATTCTGTGTAGTTTCCATGATCTCAGAGAGAAGTCTCTAAAGGAGAAAACCAATTAAGCTCAACAATGCCGTGATCTCTCACACTAGGAACTGGCCCAGGCCAGGTGGGGGAGACGGAAAAGGAAGAGGTGGACGTGGGCCTGAGAGATGGCCCTGAGAGGTGTACCAGGACTAGCATAACTCTGGGAACCTGCAGGGCTGTTTTGTTTTGAGGTTCTCTGTGTGTATTGTTTGTTAGATAGCCTCCTATAAATGTTGCAAAAAGGCAGCTATCTGCTATCTGAAGCACATTAAGCAGCCAGTGTGTCCCCGGAGTGCACCGGGCTCTTCACAGGTTAGGAAGTTGTAAACTGGAGTAGGAGTCAGTCTCCCCTCGCCGGTTCCCAGCAGTTGTGGAGAGGCTGTGCCTATGGTCAGAATATGCCAGGAATGAAGGTGATCTTATCGAGGGATATTTGCAGAATAACTCACGGGTGCCTGGGGTAGCCATGTGGATTCGCTTAACTTATTAATGCCAGTGTTCATTTCCCTTTCCAGGCTCCTCCCGGTGAAATACCAAGTCAGGGAAGTTTACCTTTAACTTGGTCATTCCAGGAAGGCGTCCAACTGCCCAGCAGTTACAGTACATCTTTAATAGCTAACACTCCCCAGCAGAACTCCCTGAATGATTGCCTATCCTTCCCCAAGAGCTACAGTTTGGGGGGAACCACTGAGCTGGAAGATCCAGCTTCCACCTTGGACCCCACTCCGCTCTATGAGAAGTGCAAATTCCCCAGCAGTAGGATCTACGGCAGTGAAGATCAGTTTCAGTCTGCTGTCCCTGGGGTCTACACGGATTACGACGATCTGCAAGCCTGGAATAAAAATGCTACCTTAGGGAGAAATCCCAATGATAACGCGTGCTACCCCAACTATCCTTTGCCTGTGACCAACTGGCCCTGCGACTTCTTCCCCTCCCAGAACTCTCTGGAGCACCTTCCCCAACAGATTCCGCTGGAAGCAGCTGCAGTGCAAACTGCTTGTCATCCGCTGTGGTCCAACCCAGGCGGCGAACCTTATGAAGAGAAAGTACCTATGGATTTCAGCAGCTACGTGCCCTCCCTCACGTACCACTCCCCTCAGCAGGACCCCTTCCTGCTCACCTATGGCTCTCAGCCTCAGCAGCAATATTCACTGCCCAACAAGAGCAGCAAATGGGATTTTGATGAAGACATGGCATGCACGGGCTTGGATCACTTCAACAATGATATGTTTCTCAACCTCTGCCCTTTAAGATGACTCAGACCTCCCTCCCTTCCTTGTGAGGTAGTAAAGGGCTGGAAGAATATCCTTCGAGAATGGGTTTCGAAGCATAGCCTCAGAGGAGTGTCGGACTTGTGATAAGCAGTAGACAGGGCTCTTGTTTGCAGTCTTCCTCTCTTCGCCTCGTCAATGCTAGTGTGTTTACCCGTAGTCAGGAATAGAAACTCACGCGTGCCAGGAATAATTCCAGAACTCAGGAGGCAGAAGCAGTTGGATCTCTGGGAGTTCAAGGCCAGCCTAGTCTACCTACTGAGTTTCAGGACAGCCAAGGCTGTGTAGAAAGACCCTGTCTCAGAACCCACCTACCTAGCCTCCCCCCACCCCTCAAAAAAAAGAGAAAAAAAGAAAAAAGGGAAAAGAAACTCTTGCATTGTGGGGCAAAATGCTCTCTGATGCCCCTGACCAAGCTCTGGAAACTCAGCACCTCAGTGGGGCTGTCTGGAGGAGTCTTACTACGTCAGCTTAGCATTTCGTCTATGCCTTTTTGGAAGCCGAAACTGAAGGAACAGAAAGAAGACAAAGAACTGTGGAGGTGTGGAGTTGAACATTTTACCAAAGAAGTATTTAATACTTTGCTTAGCTTTATTTTTTTTAAAGAAGAAAAAAAAACATGTTTTCTAGATTTGTGACTTGACAAAACAAGAGGCGTGACCTCATCCTATTTATAAAGAACAAAAACCAAATGGACACAGGAGGAGAATGAAGTCCACATCTCCTTCCTTTTTCCTTCTCAGTGACTTCGGCTTCCACCAGATCTGAGTTTCTGCCCTGCTCTTTCCTATCCTTTATTGTATCTCAGTGTCGGGTTCATATGAGAAGTTCTTGATGAAAAGTCTTTGTCAAGGGCTGCGCTGGGACTCAGCAGACCAGAACTTGCTTAGCACGTCAAAGGCCCTGGGTTCAACCCCCAGCAACAAATTCCAATAACAAAGCTTTGTTGGGCAGCAGTGCACACCTGCTATCCCGGTATTTGCGAGACTGAGGCAGAAGGACCATGAGCGTGAGGTCAGCCCAGGCTACACAGTGAGAACCTATCTCAAACAAACTTAGAACATTCTTCGTGGAGGCTAAGAGGCATGGCTCCATGGTTTAGCATGTAGGGCTGAATGGGGCTTTAGCCTTGCTCCTCCAAACCCAAGTTGCTAAACTAAAGCATCTCTATTCCTTCCTCAGCTGACCAGTCCCAGGCTCTGCTGAAGTACTGTCCAGAAAAGTCATATGCAAGTGTTTTCAAAATAGTCTTTGCTGTTTGATTCATAGTTAATGTGTATGATACAAGAATCAAAAAGAAATGATGTCTCTTGTTCCCCTGGTCCTCTGCAATACTGAAAACTTTTTCTTGTCTACCCCACAGAATAATGCCCTTTTCTAGATATACATGTGAATATTATTATACATAATATATATAATATACTGTTTTCTATATTATTATGTGTATGTGTGAAGTCATATCCTCTAACTTCCGCATGTGCTTGCCGCCCTCACACCTATGTGCACAAACACAATAAATGCGATAAGAAACTGTTGAAGACGGGGCTGGAGAGATGGCTCAGTGGTTAAGAGCATTGCCTGCTCTTCCAAAGGTCCTGAGTTCAATTCCCGGCAACCACATGGTGGCTCACAACCATCTGTAATGAGGTCTGGTGCCCTCTTCTGGCCTGCAGACATACACACAGACAGAATATTGTATGCATAATAAATAGATAAATAAATAAATAAAAAGAAACTGTTGAAGTATAACAGATATAAAGAAGAGTGCAAAAGTCATAGTATGTAGCTCAACACATTGAAATAGCCAAGTCTGTCTGCCATGTTGCTGGTGTACCTTCTCTTCGGGGACACAATGTACTTTTCAGACTAGACACGGTTTATTTGAAATCTACAGCTGCTTACAATGACCTTGTGATGAGGCCCTATTGAATATTACCTAGGCTGTGGGATGTAGCCATGGGCCTGATGGAGCTTCCTATACTAGAAGGTTCTAATTACATCGAAAGAAAAAAGAATCACTGGATTTTAATTTCCATTGATCTGAGATATTTTGGTATTGCAAACATTTTTCTCCACTAGACTGAAGCACTCTTTCATCTCAAACATTTTCACTTACAAAAATTCATAATTTTGATATTTGCCAAAGCAAGAATATGTGATTAACTGCCATCTCCACTCCCAAGTCTGATTCCCAACCTTCCAAAGGCTTCTACTTCTTAACTCCCTGCTGTTTCTCACACTTAGCTCTAGACTTTCAAATAGTAAGATTCTACATCTGTGTTTTCACATTATGTGTCTCTGGTTTCTGATCACAGATTAGGATCTAAGAGATTCATAATGGTACCAGCCCCATTCTTCATCATCTAAGCTGTATAATTTGATGATTTTTGCTCATAGTATACTTGGTCATGTTGTGTAATGAAATTAAAATCAAGATATAGAATACTGCCATTATCCTAAAAACTTCTGTTGGTGTGGGGCTAGCTAGGGGAGAGGTGGAGAGATGGCTCAGCGGTTAAGAGTGTCCATTGCTTAGGCCGGGCAGTGGTGGCACACACCTTTAATCCCAGTACTCGGGAGACAGAGGCAGGAGGATCTTTGTGAGTTTGAGGCCAATCTGGTCTACAAGAGCTAGTTCCAGGACAGACTCCAAACCAACAGAGAAACCCTGTCTCGAAAAACAAAACAAAACAAAAAAGTATACACTGCTCTTACGGAGGACTCAAGTTCAGTCCCCAGCACCCACATCAGGTGGTTCACAACCCCTAAAATTCTAGCTTCATGGGATGTTGCACATTCTCCTGGTCTCTGGGGATGCCCTCACTCACATGCACACAGACATACATAAATACACATAATTAAAGTTCCTTCTGCCTGCCAGTGGTGGCGTACACCTTTAATCCCATCACTCAGGAGGCAGAGGCAGGTGGATCTCTGAGTTTGAGGCCAGCTTGGTCTACAGGGTTCCAGGACAGCCAGGGCTATACAGAGAAACCCCGTCTCAAACTACCACCTCTCCCCCCAAAAAAAGCTTTTAAAAAGTTGTTGGGCCCCTCACCAATCAATTCTTTCCTTGATTCTCAGCCTCAGAGGCCGCTGTGTGCTTTCTATCACTACAGTGCTGCAATCTTTTAAATTACCTGCAGTGAAATCACAAGGCCTTTAAAATCCACTTTCTACACTCTGCATGATGCTTTTAAGATCTACAAATGTCTTGTGTGATAGTAGTCAGTTCACTTACTCTGTTTTATGAATGGACCACACTTCATCCGTAAATCAATCTTGTACATTCGGGTTGTTTCCAGCTGCATAAATTATGAATAAGACTACTATGAATGTTCACATTAAAGGCTCCTGTGGACATTTCTCCAGTCTGTGCACCAATGCATGAAATCATTCCATCACGTGTTAAAATGCACGCTGCAGCATTAGTAGATACCACCAAGCTGTGTGGCAAAGTGGCTGCAGTGTTTTTCATCCTATCAGAAGAGTTCCGTTCTTTGACTTCATTTTCAAGCTCCTTTAACTCTTAGCCATTCTTAGAAAGAATTAGAGGTTCCCACTAAGGCTTCATCTTTTAAAACAGGGTCTTGCTCTGTTGCCTTGACTGATCAGGGACTCACTATGTAACCCAGGACTCCCAATTGCTGGAATTACAAGCATGAGCTACTATAACTAGCTTCTCACTGAGGCATTACAGTACATTTCCCCAGTGACTTGCAGGGTTGGGCATCTTTTTATATTTTATTTACCATTTTTATGGCTTTGGTAAAGTATCTGCTCACATCTCTTTGTTTGATTACAGATAATGAGGTCTAAGAATTATATCTTCAGAACCTAAATCTCTAGTCAGATATGTGTTTTATAAGCTTTCTGCTTTTAATCGTCTAAATAAACATTTGTAATCAAATGTGCGATTTACAAATATTTCCCCAGTTATTGCATCCTATCTAATCCAAGGCCATAAGGATTTTTTTCTGTACTTTCTTTGAGAGATTTTTGGTTTTAGCTATTATAGCTAAGCTACACTCTATTTCTACATAAATTTCATGTATGAGGTATGAGGAAAGGGTTGAGTTTCATTTTATTTTGCATATGGATATTAAATTGTTTCAAAGGCATTTGTTGAATCAATATTTCCTTGCAATCTGAAAAGATTAATATTCAGAACTTCTAGGGCCCAAAGAAAGGCTCAGCAGTTAAGGGCACTTGCTGATCTGCAGAGGATCAGAGTTTCATTCCCAGTATCCACATGATGAATCAAAACCATCTGCCACTAGTTCCAGGAGAGATGACATGCTCTTCTGGCTTTTGTGGGCACCAGGCAGAGATGTATGTATGTATGTATGTATGTACATATGTGTGTGTATGTATGTATATATGTACAAATATATATCATGTAGGCAAACATTCATATACACAAAAACCAGCCTTAGTTCCTTGAACTCATTGCTATTTCTTTGATTATAGTTTCTATGCCTTTTCAGAGAGCCTTGACTGGTAATCCTGGTTGGATGTTATGTTCATTTCTTTCATCTCTGCAGACATGTAAAAATTATGAGCACAGCATAATTCTATGCAATAACAGGTTTCTTGTGACACTTTGATGCAGTATTTAATCTTATCCACACACTCATATTGACCTCTTATCTCCATGCCCTTTATTGACCTCTCTCGTCACCTCCTGCCTCTTCCTAATCTCCTTCTGTATCTTTTTTTTCTTTTTAAATGTTGGGCCTTCTGTACAAGACAGCACATAGTTGTTTGTGTTTCTGACTCTGACTCTTGACATGAAGCTATCTAAGTTCCATTCATTTTTCTTGGCCAGTTGCTTTCTTCCCAGACGATACCATTTTATTCCTTTCCAGCTTTCAATATGTATCTGTCCTGAGGGACCTGTCAGGTGAGCAAGGGTGTCTTTTCATGCAACTTGGTGCTTTTCTTGCAGACTTCACAATGATTCGGCTTTTATTTTTGACATTTTGAGATTGTGGTGATACTTTCTTCGTGGCTTTTTAGTGTCCTTTAAACGTCCTCTCCAGGGATGTGTATAACTGTCCCAACATTAGGTGATCATTTGTTATTATTACATTGAATGCATTTTCTTGTGCTCGTTTCTCCTGGTTTTCAGGCATTTTGTAAGCGATGAAGCTTCATTCGGTTTAATGTTGTCACACAGGTCACCAATAGTTTATTCTTTCATTATTATTTTTGTCCCTTTTCTCTTTTTTCTATATGTATTACTGTGAAATTCTCTTTTGATTTTAAATTTGTTCTTAAGTTCCACA